CCCTTCCTGCTCCTCCTCAGGATCTCACCGAGTCACTGAAGTCAGAGCTGAGTGGCAAGTTTGAGAGACTCATTGTGGCCCTCATGTGCCCACCCTACAAGTATGAGGCAAAGGAGCTGCACAATGCCATGAAGGTAACTCCCTGAGTCACCTTGTCTGTGGCAGCTTGGACCTGGCTGAGACCAGGGAGCTCGAAGTCTGCTGCCCAGGTGGCCATCCAGCACCAGGATGACCTGTCTATTCCAGCTCTGCAGTCCCACACACCGCCCTCCAGGTCATCTTTGCTTCTCACCACTTTTGCAGATTAGGAGGAACAGGGTACCCAGAGGCAGTGACCACTTTCATTGATAGGAAGCTTACTTTTCGGGTGGTGCCAGGCATTTTCCATCCATGATCACTAATTCCTCCTTCAGGGCATAGCTTACTAGTCCTATTTACACAGAAGGATGTATTAGCTGGGACAAAGAGCCCCAGGCCCAAGACCACCAGCTGAGGAGCAGAGCTGAGCCATAGCCTGTCCTTGGTATCATCACTGTGGATGAATGTGGGTCTCTCCAGTCATGCCCACTCACACAGGGCCGACCAGCATGGTCAGAACAGGGCCAGAGCTTCCCGGGACTCAGGCATCTTGAAGAAAGAGGGTGCAGACCAAGCTGGAGAGCAGAGGCCTTCGGCCCACAGAGCTTTCTGTCCCCAGGGCTTAGGGACCAAAGAAGGGGTCATCATTGAGATCCTGGCCTCTCGGACCAAACACCAGCTGCAAGAGATAATGAAGGCCTACGAGGAGGGTAAGGAAGCTGCAGAGGAGGAGGGGCCGAGACTGAATCAAAAGCTCGCTTGGCAAAGCCAGGAGCTGTGGCAGTGAGCAGGGCACAAAGGCCAAATGGCACCCACGAGAGCCAGACTCACTGGGAAGGAGCCTTTGGGCCCTTCTATACAAAAGTGTTGGGCACCTGTGGGCTAAGTCCTGCACACAAAGTGAGACTGCACATGATTTGGACCCAGTCCCTGAGCACACGGGCTGCTAGGGGACAGGTACATGACAAGGCTGTGGACCCCAGGCTGTGTCATCAGCTGACAGAGTGGCTCTTTCCTGACTCTTTCCAGAGGGCCACCTGCCAGGGTGCATGGTCATGGGGCATGGATGGCTGTCCAGCTGTCCTGTGTAGTCTGCAGGTTGCAAAACCAGCAAAGGCCAGCCTGTCCTCTGAGCTGTGGACCCAGTAGCATGTTTGCCTCTGGCCTAGCTGATCTCTGTGCTCGGAGCTTGGCTAGATATCCAGGTTACTTTTGCAGTGAATGACCACCTATGTGTATGTGATAGACCTGTGCCACCTGGATGCAAAGGTTTTATGTTCATGCCCTGTGCCAAGGACTAGCCCTTCCTAGGAAGCTGCAATGGGGGAAGTGAGGGACACAGGGCTGGCAGGAGGAAGCTGGCCTGTGTGGCCTGGGGCCTCTGTCATGCCCCCTGGTCCTGTCTCCTTGCAGATTATGGGTCCTCCCTAGAGGAAGACATCCAAGGAGACACAAGTGGCTACCTGGAGCGGATCCTTGTGTGCCTGCTGCAGGTACCCAGACCCCCAACAGCCTCAGCCCAGGATCATCCCATAAACAGAACCCTGGGGTAGGCAGGGCCAGGGACAGCCCAAGGGCCTGGGTTTGTCCCAGCCATCACCATTGGTCCTCACTGCACAGCCCCAGCCAGCCCCCCCTCTCCAGGTTCAGCCAGGGGAGACAGCACCTCAGAATTGGAGGAGGCCCCTGGTCATGGAGCAGGACCTTTGTATGGCCAGTGCTGGGCTCCCTGCCTATTCACTCACTAAATCCCCTTATTATAAGCAGCACTTCTGCTCCATTGCACAGATGAGAACCCCAAGGCTTGGGGAGGACACCTGCTTGGCAGAAAGTCCCCTCCAAGCCCTCATGACCCCTTCCAGAGCTCTCTTGTCCCTTCTGTTCCCAGGGCAGCAGGGATGACATGAGCGGCTATGTGGACCCAGGACTGGCTCTGCAAGATGCACAGGTAAAGCTGCACTCTGCCCTGGCCCAGGACTCAGGGACTGATGGTACCTCTGCCCGAGGGGAGCTGCCCAGCTCAGCACCCTGCAGACCTCTGCCCCATGGTGTTGGGGGTGGGGGCATTGGGGAGACTTGGAAGAAGGAAGGACAGTGACTTGGGTGGGGGTTAAGGTCTGTCTAGACAGGACCTACCCAGGGCTCAGGCAGGAGGCACAGCCAGACCCCTGTGCTGGCAGCACTTGGTCCTCTGCTGCCTGGAGGTGGGGAGTGGGTGTCTCAGAGTAGCTGTGTCCCCATATGGAGAGGAGGCTTGGAGTTCTTGGAGTAAAAGGTCAGGAGAGTAAGCTCCCCATCCCAGAGATACCATGGAAAGAATGCTGGCCTGGGGTTTGTCCTCACCTCCTCAGTCACTTTCCCTGGCTTTTTGGGGTATCCCAATGCCAGGATCTGTATGCAGCAGGTGAGAAGATCAGCGGGACTGATGAGATGAAATTCATCACCATCCTGTGCACGCGCAGTGCCACTCACCTGATGAAAGGTACAGAGCTGAGGGTAGCATTGCTGGGGCACAGGGGCTGCCCTGGCCCAGGGCTCTCCCTGCATGGCTAGCCTCAAGTTAAGGAGTTGGGGAGATAGCCAGGGAGCCCCGGCCCTTTCCCTGGCCTCCAAGAGGAGGCAAGGAGCAGAGCTGATTGGCAGTCTGCTATCCGCATGTCCCCTAAGTGGTGCCCTCCCTCCACAGTGTTCGAAGAGTATGAGAACATCGCCAACAAGAGCATCGAGGACAGCTTCAAGAATGAGACCCACAGCTCCCTGGAGGAAGCCATGCTCACCATTGGTAAGAGGGGGTGCAGCCCTTGGGCACATGTGTGTCCACAGGGCCAGGTCACCCTGGAGTCTGTTCTCCTACAAGGACTGTTCCCTGTGCTGCCCACATGTGCCCAGTGCCATGTGAGTGGATATGTGTGAGTGTGAGCACGTGTTAGAGAGGGACTGCAGGTGTGTAAATGTTAATGCATGAATGTGTGCATGAGTGTGTGAGTGTATGCATGAGTATATGTGTGCGTGTTTGAGAGGCAGTGTGCTCAGGGGTGAATGTTAGTGTGTGTGTGTGTGCATGAGTGTGTATGTGAGAATGTGAATGTACGCATGACTGTGTGCATGTGCATGAGTATATTTGGGAGATAGTGTATGTAGGTTGTGAATGTGTCTTGAGAGTGTAAGTACGTGTAAGTGAATGTAAGTACGTGCCTCTGTGTGAGAGATAGTATGCATGTGTGTGAATGTAAGCATGTGCATGTGTGTGACAGCGTGTGTTTGAGAGACTGTGTGAGTGCCGGGGAGTGTGTCTGCACGAAGGGAGCACCAGGTTCGGGCACTGGAAAAAGCCACCTCTCTGGCCTTGAGCCAGGCCCAGCCTCTGCCTCAGTTGAGAACTGGAGAGTTGATATGTGGGGATTAGAGTCCCAACCTGGAAGCTGGGGTCTGACACTGGGAACATGGTGACCTTTCCCCCATAGCAGGAGGCCAGGTCCATGTAGGAGGCTCCATTCCAGAGCAGATCTCAGGTCCAGAGCTGTGCTCATAATGGAAAAAGAGCCCAGATCCAGGCCAGACAGGCAGAGGGACCTTTCCTGTATTGTCACCAATGGGGGTGAGGTCGAATGGGGCTCCTGGGCAGGGCACTGCACCCTGGGCTGCCTGTGTGCGCCACCCCCGTGTCCCTGTATCCCTTCTCTCGAGTGCACATGGACATCTGAGACTCCCTGGCCAGCTTTGACTGCTATTATAAAATCCAGCCTCTGTGGGAGCATCTAAGCCCATCCTCAGCTCCCATCTCAGCCTCCAAAGCCAGCCCCTAGGTCCTCAGTGATAACATCTTCTACAGCATACCTTCCAGCAGGGAACAGGAACGGTGCCAGCCTCGCTGTACTGGGCACTTCCTGTCCACTTTTCCCTAAAGCCTCACTCACTCTCCCATCACAGATGGTCAGAGGGTCAGGTAACAACGTCACCCAGCACCACAGGGCAGAGGTTGGACTCTTACCTTGCAGCCTTGGTGAAAATGCCACCTCCCCGTGAGAGGCCAGGTCTCAGCATAGCACACATATTAGATACACTACGGCAGAGCATGCACGGGGCCCACCCTCAGGACCAGGCACCCCTGTCACTTAGTCCCCAGGGCCGAGCCCCACTTGCCTCATGAGAATTCAGAATGCAGGGCTCCTGCTGATGAGGCACCCAGAGGCCCATGGCCACTATGCTGTGTGCCACCCTGCAGCAGAGAGGCTGGATGCTTGGAGGAGCCATCTGTCAGGGTGAGAACCCAGGGCTGTCCTGGACCTGAGCTATCCTGAGGTGCCCGAGCTGTGACCCCCACAAGCCCCACAAGTGCACTCTGTATTTCACATTTGCCCTTTTGCCTGCCCTTTCAGGGCCTTTGGAGCCATGCCTGGTGCCCCAGGCTGCCTGCCCTGCCCTGCCCTGCC